TTTTTAGTTCGCCAAATATCCACATCTGTTTGTAAACATTTGCGAAAGTCATAATCACATAATCCAAGGCTAAAGAGAGGATTGGTGGCTTTAAAAAAATGCAAACCACGACCAATTTTTATGATATAACCATTGCTGAGACTGAAAGAACCATTCGTTAGATGACATTTTTACACTTGTGTCCAAAACTTACACAATTTTGCGGTCATGCAAGGTGTCTTCGAATTTATATGTTAAAGAGACATTTCGTCTTGCCATATCAGTTCTAATCTGCTCTAATATGGTTTTTTGGTTTTCAGATGCTTTGTTATCAGTTTTTGTCACCACTCGGACATATTTGAGATGCCTGCAGTTTTTTACTAGCAACTCCAGAAACGTTATTAGATTCTGAAACTTTTTGCGAAACTCATTAATGAATTTGGTCTATTAGACAATTGGAATTTTTACACACATGATATTTTTCATGAAGGTAAGGTTCTTCCAGCAGGACCTCTTTTACTTCAGCATTAAGGTACTTTCCAAAAAGCGATTCATAACTATTGCCAGCGGAATCCTCATCTATTGGTATGTTTGTTACAAGTTCTCCACGGATAACATGATTTTGTACACGTTCCTTAATTTGTTCGGCACGGTCTATATATTCTTTAATCCTCTCGTAAAATACTTTTTTCTTTGCAACGTCATTTTCGTCTGCCCAGTATAAAATAAAGCAAAAACGCAAGCAAATAAAAGAATTACTTTTCAAGGAAAACGCTCTTGGGCAATGATATGTATGAAGATTACTTGGGTGGGCTTTCCAAAACGGAACCAATCGAAATTTCAGCGAAAGTATAAGGAATTTCGTCATGAAACTTGGTGAGGATGTTGGGGGAGGCCTCCTCAACATGAATTGTTCACTCTCACAATATAATTGCTAATAGTATTTTAGCAATTTGTTGTTAAATAATGTCCACTATCACCCCCTAATTTTTTTAAAATATGCCACTTATCACTTATATTTTGTGTTACATGTTATATTTTCAATGCTCACATGCGTATTTTATGCTTTTATTATATATAATTCACCAATTAATTAAGTAAAACGCGTTTATAAACTTGTGTTCACGTTTTACCACTTTTCACAAACAAACAGAAATAACAATGGCCGACAGTAAGAGCAAATATGTGCTGCCATACGTTTTAAAAGTAAATACGCCACTATTAAAGGATTTTATTAAAACGCGGCAAACACAAAAAGGAGTTGTGCGTAAAATCGTCATATCGCGCGATTTTATATAAAACACCCAGTAACCATATATTAATATAGTTCCATATATATCGAAAATTTATAATAAAAAATCGCGCGATTTTTTATTAAAAATTTT